TGGATTTGAAGGATGCCTTTTTGCCTGGTTTGGTGAAATGAAGCATACGTTTATTTGTCTTTGAATAGGAAAACCCCAATAAGGGGAAGAAAAGAGTCACTTAACCTGGACAGTGTTACCCAGGGTTGTGAGAACAGACCAGAGACTTTTGAGAACTGGTCAGCTTGTGAGCCTGAGACTTGGGTTCCTCCATCCTAGGGTGGAACTTTACTGCAGTATGTGGATGCCACAGCAACAAATGAGGACTGTGTGCAATGGACTGTGAGTTTGCTGAATTTTGAATTTCTTAGTTTAAATGATTATCAAGTCTCTCAACAGAAAGCCCGACTGATCTAGAGGAAGGAAGCAATTTGCTGAATGCCCAGAACACCAACATGGAGCTACCTCTGAGCTGCCTGTATGTGACTGCTTGGAGACTGTCTATGCCAGTCAGCCAGACTACAGGAGGAACCACTGGATGATGCTGAGGATTCCGGGATTCATTGATGGAAGCAGTTTTATGAGACAAGGAAACTGCAAGGCAGGATTTACAGTAATTGCTATTGACAAGTTAATCGAAGAACAACCATTAACTGTGGGAACTTTCTCTCAGAAGGCTGAAATAACTGCCTTGACAAGAGCCTTAAGTATATGGACAGATGCTAAATATGTATTTGGAGTGGTACACGCTCAAAGTACCATCAGGAAAGAGCAAGAACTGTTGACATGCAAGGAAAACAAATTCAGCATGGTGTAAATCTACCAAAGAGCGTGGCCATTATACACTGAAAAGGACATGAGAATGGTAAAACTGTATAGGAAATGGAAAGAAGATGGTGGATTAGGTGGCAAAGCAGGCAGCTGAAGGAAAAGAAATTGGTGACTTGGCTTTAATTCCAGATGGCAAACTTAAAATATTATTTTAGAGGGGACAGGAATCTAATTATTCATTTAGAAGGGAAGAGAGCAAGCTGACAGATGGGTGCTTACCCAGATGGACACATTGCTGTGCCCTTCAGTATTTTATGGAAATTGGTTTTAAGGCAACATAGTAAAACTTACTGGGGAAACAGATGCTATAAAGTACTGTACAAACCTAGTACCAGAACAGGGTACAAGTAGGGCCTATTAGGAAAGGAAACCTTCCAGGACAACAATGGCAAATCTATTTCATTCCACTTCATTTCATTCCACTTCATTTCACTTCATTTCATTTCATTTCATTTCATTTCATTTATTTCATTTCATTTATTTCATTTCATTTCATTTATTGGAACTGCCAGGAATAAGGAGGGTTTTGTTATATGCTAGTTCTAGCCAATACCTTTTCAGGGTGGCCAGAAGCATTCCCCTGCAGGACCAATAAAGCCGAAGAAGCAACCAAGGTATTGTTGCAGAAAATGATTCCAAGGTTTGTGGTTCCTGCACTGATATCCTCTGACAGGGAAACTCACTTCATTACAGTGTCCAACAGATTAGCAAACTATTGGGAATAGATTGGCAATTGCACACACTGCACAGACCACAGACAAGTGGTCAGATGGAACTGATGAACCACCTGATTAAATCACATCTTGTAAAACTGGGCCAGGAGCCAGGACTATACTGGCCACAGTCATTACCTTTGGCTCTCCTGAGGATCAGAACGAAATCTAGAGCCAAAGAGGGATTACGTCCTTTCAAAATACTTCAAAATACAAAACACAAAATAAGTACAAAAGGCCTTTTGTTGTGCAAACCGGGATCTCTACCCAAGTAGGGAGTGGAATACTAACTGAATGTGTCATAAGTCTACAGAAATTGCTTAGGGAAATAAACTGGTAATAGGAACTAGACCCCGAAGCCTTGATGGCTCAATCCATAATATTTTACCAGGAGATTGTGTGTATATATTAGATCTCTTTCAGGTTCACCCCTGGAACCAAGGTCTGTTCCAGGTGCTGCTAACGTCCCAAACAACAGTCAGAATTAAAAATTTAAGATCAAAATTAAAGAACAACCATTGTGGATACATCATACTAGAGGCAAGAAGGTCCCTCGAACATGATGGGAATTGAAGACAGCTGGATCCAAATCCTGCAAATCCAAAGACAGTAATATGGGCTCTTGTAATCATTAGAAATATTAATTTGTTAAGTGCTGCTTTTGATGCAAATATTTATGTATCTCTTGTGAAAAACCTTGCAAAGCAAATTAATATCAGTAATTCTTCAGTATGTGGGCAAGCTGACAGTTTTAACTCTCCATTTCTTGGAGTCCCTGATGAACATAAGGTGCGAAATCAAACTGTTGCAGACTTTGAGTCACTGCTGTGGTGGATGTTGATCAATGAGAATGCAGATTGAATTAACTACATCCATTATAATTAACAGCAACTTATAAACTATACAAAGGGTGCAATAAGGGGAACTGAGGAACAGTTAGGTGCCACAAGTAGAATGGCCTGAGAAAATAGGATCAGGCTAGATATGATGTTAGCTGGAAAAGGGGGTGCGTGTGTAATGCTAGGTACCCATTGTTTCACCTTCATCCCCAGTAACACAGCTCCAGATGGCAGAATAACTAAGGCACTGCAAGGGCCTACCATCCTTGCTGATGAATTGACAGAAAAATCAGGAATAGATACTTCTGTCAATGGATGGTTGAAGTCCTGGCTTGGTAAATGGAAAGGGCTGTATGTATCCATATTTACTTCTCTGATTATAGTAGCAGGAACCCTGAAAGCAACCACTGGTTGCTGTGTTATCCCCTGTGTGAGGGGACTGGTAGAGTGACTGGTCAAGAGAGCACTACTGAAGCAAACGCCAATTGAGCTGCCACCATATTTGGATGAAATTATGATATTAGAGGAGATGGGTAATTAAGAAAGTAAAGAAGAGGAAGATGTCAATAAAACAATACCTTAGAAAAAAATTGCAGAAATCAACAATGTATAAAGAAGAAAAGGGGGGAATTGTAGGACTGGGAAGTTGTTTCTGCATTAGAACTAACAAGATAAATATTTTACTAATAGTTCTTTTCAGGAGAGCCTTTTTACTTCATTGGGGTCTCTGTAGTCTTCGCATGCTCAGCAGATAGGTGAAGTAATTTATAGTCACAAAGATACATGGAGTAATATGTTGGTACAAAGACTGCAGCTCTGGTCTGTGCAGCCTTCTGGAACAGCTCTGAGCCTTGATCTGAAGATAAGTCACACTCCTAATCAGTGTGACAAGGATATCAATGGGCTCATTATGTTGGAAGACTACTAATTGTTGGTGCTGGACAGACAAGACCTGAGTGATAGAGAATTGAAGGAGAAGAAGCAAAACAATTAGTAGTATACACGTTTAGATAACAACAGTTTATGTTCATCAGGTGTGGATGTGTTTAGCTGAGCCTCGGGAACATTTGTGAACCTGAAGCATTCAGCCAATGAGGAGGAAGAGATCAGCATTGGGTAATGGGGCATAAAAGCTGTAATGCTGCTTTCTGTGTGTGCTGCTGCTTGTGGGATGGCTGGCACTGCAATGGCAGTAAAATAAAAAAGATACCGTCCTGGGTTATTTGGGTATTTGCAACAAGTGCTCTCTGACTTCATGTCTGTCCATAACATTTGTAGTGTAGTAAGTTTTACGAAGCCATTATATTTGGTAATTCTCTGTGTGAGAGTTAAAATTGTGTTTATTATCCAGCCTTGGATAATAAACAGAGAAGCAGATAAGGGGGGGAGGGGAGGGGCTAACCCGTCAGGATAAGGAAAATGGATGGAGGGGACAAACACGATAATCAAGAGGTAACAAATTACGAGGTGAGAATGAGGGAGAGATTAAAGGTTGATGTGATTAGGATGCAGATACAATAGTAAGCATCAAAGCCTCACATAGATTCTGGAGTGGTCAGCCTAGAAAGGGAAGGAATTCTTGGCGTTGGTGGATCAGGGATATAAAGCTGTGATAAATTTTCGATCATGCTCCTGTTAGCAGGATGCCCACTACTGCAATCGTGAATTAAAACTTTTTCACAACAAAGCCAGTCTGTGAAAAATCAGTTATTTCTCACAACTGGAATTTGCAAACATTTAATATGAACATGAGCCTGAACATGAGCCAGCAGTGTGCCCAGGTAGCCAAGAAGGCGAATGGCATCCTAGCTTGCATCATAAATAGTGTGGCCAGCAGGAACAGGGAAGTGATTGTCCCCCTGTACTCAGCTCTGGTGAGGCTGCACCTCAAGTACTGGGTTCAGATTTGGGCCCCTGATTGCAAGAAAGACATCGAGGCCCTGGAGTGGGTTCAAAAAAGGGCAACAAAGCTGGTGAGGGGTCTGGAGCACAGGCCTGATGAGGAGCAGCTGAAGGAGTTGGGATTGCTCAGTCTGGAGAAAAGGAGCTCAGGGGAGACCTCATTGCTCTCTATAACTGCCTGAAGGGAGGCTGCAGTGAGCTGGGGGTTGGTCTCTTCTCTCGTGTAACTCGTGATAGGACTAGAGGGCATGGCTTCAAGCTGCGCCAGGGGAGATTCAGTCTCGATGTTAGGAAATACTACTTTTCTAGAGTGGTCAGGCATTGGAATGGGCTGCCCAGGGAGGTGGTGGAATCACCGACCCTGGAGGTGTTCAAGGAACGTTTGGACGTTGTGTTAAGGGACATGGTTTAGTGGGAGCTATTGCTGATGGGTGGATGGTTGGAGTGGATGATCTTGTATGTCTTTTCCAACCTTGGTAATTCAGTGATTCTGTGATACTGGTACGAACGCTGCCAAGCCAGTGTCAGTGGTAAAGGCGCGCAGTTTGCAGTAAGCAAAGCGTGCTGTGCTGCAGCCGCTCCCCCCGCTTCCCGCAGCGCTGGGGAACGCTCCCCCCATGGGACGGGACGGGACGGGACGCGGCGCAGCGCAGCCCGATCCGGGCCGCATCCCCGGCTCTCAGCCGCCCCCACGCAGTGCTGCTGCAGCCCCGCGCCGTCCCCGCGCCCCACCGGCCCGGCACCCACCGCCCCACGGCTCTGCGCCGCAGCCACGGACGCAACGCCACTCACTCACCGCCACTCTTCCCCGTCTGCACACCGCTTTCCGCTCCAGGCCCGATGTGATGTCATCATCGCGCGCCGGAACTTGGTGACGTCACGGAGCGGCGCCGCGCAGCCGGCGCGGAGCGGAGCGTTGGGAAGCAGCCGTTCAACTGGAGGTCGCACCGCGCCGCATTGCACCGCACCGCACCGCACCGTTTCTCGTATGCCCGCTGTCTCCGTGGATGAAGTGACGCCCGGCTGACGGCTGAGATTCGCTCCCGCGTCTCGCAATTCCTGCGGGGACTGTCGCCGTTTGGTACGTCGGACGCCTCGGCTTCTTCGTGCCGCCCGGCTGTGGCGCACAGTCTTTGTTCTCTATCTTCCTCAGCTCTGCCTTCCCAGGGGTCGGTACTGGGGTCCAACTTGTTTCATATCTTTATTGATGACCTGATTGAGGGATTTGAGTGCACCCTCAGCAAGTTTGCAGGTGGCACCAAGTTTGTAGGTGGTGTGGATCTGCATGGGGGTAGGGAGGCCCTTCAGAAGGGTCTAGATAAGCTGGATCGATGGGCTGAGGTGAATGCGATGAGGTTCAACAAGGCCAAGTGCCGGGTCCTGCACTTTGGGCACAACAACCGCATAATAAAATATGCAGCGCTACAGGCTTGGGGCTGAGTGGTCGAATGACTGTGAAAAGGAAAGGGACCTGGGGGTGTTGGTTGATGCTTGGCTGAACGTGAGCCAGCAGTGTGCCCAGGTGACCAAGAGGGCCGATGCCATCCTGGCCTGCATTAGAAATAGTGTGGCCAGCAGGAGCAGAGAGGTGATCATCCCCCTGTGCTCAACTTTGGTGAGGCCGCACCTTAGTACTGTGTTCAATTTTGGGCCCCTCACTACAAGAAAGACTTCAAGTCTTATGAGGAGCAGCTGAGGGAGCTGGGATTTTTTAGTCGGGAGAAGAGGAGGTTCAGGGGAGTCCTCAATGCACTCTACAGCTTCCTGAAGGGAGGTTGTGAGGAGGAGGGGTTTGGCCTCTTTTCCCAGGCAGCAAAAAGGACCCAAGGAAATGGCCATAAATTGTATCAGAAGAGGTTTAGATTAAACATAAGGAAAAACTTTTTCTCTCAAAGAGTGGTCAGGCACTGGAATGGCTGCCCAGGGAGGTGGTGGAGTCGCTGTCCCTGGCAGCATTCAAGAGGCATCTGGATGAGGAGCTACAATATAATACAACTACAATATGTACTCTTAGGGGAAAAACAGGAATATATTCACTGATATAATGAAGATACTCGGTAGTGATTTAATACTGACTTGACAACATTGGAGATGGGTGCAGTGCTGCTGGTCTGAGTCCTAGGTGTCCTTTACTCCCAAATGGGCTGGGGAGGGCTGTTCTTGGACAGGGACAGCAGCATTCCCTCACACCTACCCTTTCTTTTGGTAGAATTGGGCCAATTCTTTTGTCCCAGCAGGCTCCAGTGAATCATCTGCCTTTCACCTGTGACTATCCCAGTCTGCGGGAGAGCAACAAATGGCTACACCGCATCCATCTCAGGTAGGAGTGTGGGGAAGCAAGCAAGTGAGGAATGTGAATGCATGGGAAGAGGGAGGTGCCTTTCTCTCCTCTGCCAGCTGCTTCCGTCGGCCTTGACTGTTCCCCACAAGGAGCCTCTTTGCTTGCAGGAGCCCGTGACCTTTGCAGAGGTGGCCGTGTATTTCAGCAGGGAGGAGTGGGCGCTGCTGGACCCTGCGCAGCGAGCGCTGTACTGGGATGTGATGCTGGAGACGTACGCGTGCGTGGCCTCGCTGGGTGAGGGCTTTGCTGCCTTTTGTCCTTGTTAGGGCTCCTTTGTCTGTGCAGAATGACACTGCAAGCAGGGCTTAGAATAATTGCAATGTAGTTACTTGTGGAATAATGCAGCAGCACCAGAAACAAAACGTAGGTAAGTTTCTCATAAGTTTCAGAAAGGATTAGCGTGCTTAGAACTCTGAGAAGTGATCCAGAGTCACTGCTGGCAAGCAGGCATCAGCCAGGAGGGGTTGGATCAGCAAACTGTCTTTGTGTTGCTGTGTTGCATGTTGCTGCATTGCATTGTGCCACCATGCTCCAGCAACCTAACAACCTGCTTTGTCAGGGGGGTTGGACTCGATGATCTCTGGAGGTCCCTTCCAACCCCTACAATTCTGTGTGTGATTCTGTGTGTGAACTCTCTGGTTATTTGCCTTTTTTTTCCTTTTCCATTGAATTATTGCAAACCCTTATGAAGCCTTGGGCACTAAGCAGTTTGGATACAATTTAAAAAAAGAAATCCTAAGGTGAACATTAGAGAAATTGTTCCTGCATAATTTTCAGATACGTAGAGGTCATGTTGGGCTTCAAAGCAAGCCCGTATGTGTTGGCCCAGTGTCATTCAGGCCCTTAGCGTGGTTACAGAAGTTGGGAGGGACACTTAGTGGAGCTGTTGGAGAAGCAGCTGTGCCAGAATCATAGAAATGCTTTCATGTCCTCTGCTTCTGTATTTAACCTCCATGTCCAGCCCCCAAACCTGTGGTGGTCTCCCTGCTTGAAGGAGGGGAAGACCCCTGGAACCCAGATGTGCATGGCCTGGAGGACATGGCAGGAGATCTCAGCCCAGGTGAGATGATGGGGGACAGGAGGAAGTTGGGCTGACAAGAACTATCTTTGTCTGAGAAATAGTTTAGGCCTAATGTGTTATTTCTGGCTTTTCTCTGTCATCCATCAGGACATGGAGTCACAACTGTTCAGGAGGGTGTACAGAATTGTGATGTGACTGAAAGGCAGTGTGGTAGTGTCTCGGTGAAAGAAATCAGAAAGGATATCCAAGGGGATCTGAAACAAGTAGAGCACCTCAAGAAGCAACAGGGAAACCCTCCAGGAGAGACTGTGAGGAATCTGCTGGACTGCAGCACAAGTCAAAAACAGCCTAAAGATGCAAGGAGTAAAGAAGTGTGCCAGGAGAGAAGGCAGAACCCAAGTGCTGAGTGTGGAAAAAGCCTGAAAAGGAATTCCAGCCTTGTTAACTACTGTTGTGTACGCTCAATGAAGAGATTGTACAAGTGTTCAGCTTGTACAAAAAGCTTCAAATGGAAATCCCACCTCACCTGCCACCAGCGCATCCACACAGGAGAGAGACCCTTCAAGTGTCCTGA